TCAGACCGACACCCAGCCCACTCTCCACTGCTCACACTGATTTATTTCCTTTCCTTCCTCCTTTTTTCCTCACTAAAATCCTTCCCCATCCAGGCCAGGAATGACATAACTCCTTCCTGATGTCCCAAAAAACCCACTTTCCCTTTCTTCCTGCAGATCAAACCCCCAAAACACTGCACAGCGAGGATTTATTAGGTCATAATTAAGTATTTATCAGCTGGTTTCCTTCTGTGGGCTCAGAACTAAGGTGGAAAACTCAGCTCTGCATCTTCAAAACATCTCAGGTAAAGGAAAAGCTGGAAAAAGTGCTTAAGCAGGGAAAAATTTGCCTGTGGAATGCCTTTGATGTAATATTTAGCTGAAATATCCCACCAAAAAAAAAAGATGTGGGGAAAAACATCCTGGTTCTGGAAATATTCTCTGTTGCTGTGATGGAGCCTCGAAATTAAGTTGGTTTTGAAGTTTATTTATTTATTTAAATTTATAATTTAATTTAGGAGACGTATTTGCATGTGTGGAGTCTGCAAGGTTGTTTTTTTTTCTCTGTAGAACAATGGAGAAATCATCTCCTGGCCAAGATGTGGGAACATTGGGAAAGGCTGGGAAGCAGCTTAGGAAGGAGCTGAGGTCACTTATTAAAAAAATAAAAAACAGTGTTAAAAAAAAGATAAATCCAATTATTCCCATTTTTCAGGTGGTATTAAGTGACTCTCCCAAAATCCAGAGGGAATCTGCAGAAGATGGGGAAGCTGCAGAACTTTCCCCCAGAGTTTGCTCAGTGGGGATTAATAAATTATTGAAGCCCAAGGGGTTAAAATCTGGGACTGGCTCTGAAATTTGAGATAAACCCAATTTAAAAAAATGGCACAAACTGGGAGAAAAAAGTGGAGGAAAGCTAAAATAAAAATCAAACTTTTTAAAATGAAAAAAAAGAGCCCTAAAACATGAAAGTCAGCAGCTAAAAAATTAAGTTGACTCACAGAAACAGAATAATGCTGGCAAATCCCTTCTTATCTCTTGCAGGAGGACACCATAAATTTCCTTTACAGTGTCACATATTTATGCCAAATATCCTCTTACACTGATTCAATTTATTCCAGGCTTGTTTCAAGAATTACATGGGATTCCAAAGCCCTGAAAAAATCCGCAGATGAAATTAAAGAAAAAAAAAGAACTGGGGAAAAAAACCCCCACCATATTTATGGTTTTAAGAGCTTTAAAGGGATTCAATTAAAAATATTACAAGTTGTTCTTTATTAGCATTACAAATATCACAATGTGACATTTCAGAGCGGGAATGAAAACAAAATGGCCAAGGGCAAAATGGGCAAAATGGGAAAAAAACTTAATTCCCTAAAGGCTCATGGGGAAGCACAGTCTCAAAATTCCACATTTCCAGTTAAAAATCTCCCTCCACCTCTGCTTTTCCAGGTTTTATTCCAGTCTTTCCTCTTACAGGAGAAGGAGGAGAGAGGAGAAAACACCTGGAATAGGGAGAGGGATGATCCTGCTCAGGTTTGTCATCCCCGAACAGAAGGAATGTTCAGGAGAGAGGGAAGGGAAGGGATTTAGGGACAGTTGGGAATTCATGGAGGAGTCTGTGGGGTGCAGAAACAGGGGCTGAAAAAAGCTTAAATGTGAGGGTGGGGAGACCCTGGGGAAGATTTCCCAGAGAAATCATGGAAGCATCCTAGATTTCCCAGAGAAATCATCCTTGGAAGTGTCCAAGGCCAGCCTGGGATGGGGGAAGGTGTCCCTGCCCATGGAACAGCATTTTCCTTAAGGTTCCTCCCAACCCAAACCACTCTGGGACTCTCTGACCTGGCCAAGGGATGATCTGAGGGCAGGATGGGTGAGAAAGGGATAGGAAGGAGCTGGGAATTCCCACAAATCCCAAAATCCAGACTAGATTGCCCCTGGATCCCAGAGAGTGTCCAAGGCCAGCTTGGAGCAACCTGGGAGAGTGGAAGGAGCACCTCAACCCAAACCATGCTGGGATTCTCTGACCCAAGGGCAGGATGGGCGATGGAAAAGGGACAGGGAGGAGCTGGGAATTCCCACAAATCCCAAAATCCAGCCAAACTGAGCCCCCTCAGGCTACCCCATCTCTGGGAGTATCTAAGACCAGCATGGAGGGATAATGGAAGGAGGATGGTGCTCAAGGTCCCTCCAACCCAAACCATTCTGGGATTTGACCCAAGGGAAGGATGGTGAGAAATGGATAGGAAGGAGCTGGGAATTCCCACAAATCCCAAAATCCAGCCAAACTGAGCCCCCTCAGGCTGCCCCGTCCCTGGGAGTGTCCAAGACCAGCATGGAGGGATAATGGAAGGAGGATGGTCCTCAAGGTCCCTCCAACCCAAACCATTCTGGGATTCTCTGACCTGGCCAAAAGGATGACCTGAGGGCAGGATGGGTGATGGAAAAGGAACACAGAGGAGCTGGGAATTCCCACAAATCCCAGAATCCAGGCAGGCTGAGCCCCTCACCTCTGCAGACGGGCCGGTGGTCGCTCCAGGCCACGATGATGTCGCTGACTCTCTTGCAGGTGATGCTCTTGGAGCCCTGCAGGTCGTAGCCCTCGTTGCAGGAGAACTGGATGCTGGAGCCCAGCCTGGAGAGGGGACAGAGGGGACATCAGCCTGCTGGATCTGGGGCCAGAGCCATCCCCTGGCCCTGCAGCAGCAGGAAGGGAGGAGGGAGCAGCTCTGCCTCCCCTCTGCCCCAGGGGCTGATGTCCAAATCCCAGTCTTTAGTGACATTTCAGTGGGAATTTCATCCACAGCGCCAGGAGAGGACACGCTCAGCGTGCTCATAAAGTGAAATAAAAATCTTCCTCAACTGCTGAGAGTTCTGCTCTTTGTTCTGTGGTTTGGATTCCGAGCCTTTGCTGCTCCAGCTTTGTTCCCTGAGGTAACAAAATTCAGCCTGCAGCAGCTGGGAATTCATCCCGTGGAATTTAGGGACTGTTGGAATTCCCTTTCCTCTGCTGGATTTGAGAAGAATTTGGCAGAGTGGAATTTGATTGAGAGACATCTCCCATGAGCAAAACAGCCCTGGGTAGCAAAATCAGATGAAATATTGATTCCCCATGGCCACCAGCAGCTGGGGCATCCCTGCAAAGGAAAACTGGGAACTGGAAAGGAGCAGCAGCACTGGTTTAAGCTTTCCAAACCCCAATTAGCTGGCACCACACAGACTCAGTGACAAGGAACCTCAGTCACCTCAAATTCTCTAAGGGCAGGGCCATGCTGGGGCTTGAGCTAATTTGAAAAATGATTTTTTTTTTTTTTTTGGCTGTTTCAGTTTTCCAGAGGAGGGATGACAGCACAGAGGGATTCTACAACCCGGACTGGGAAAGGATAAAAATACGCCAAGAGATCTTTAGAGAGCCTCACGTGGAACAGCACTCACAGGCAGGGTTTTCCACACGTGTCCCACAAAACTGGGCAGGATTTTGGGAAGGGGACAGAGCAAACAGAGCCCCCCACAGCAGGAGCACAGCCAGGGACACACAGGAGCTCATGCACAGAACACACAGAAAATGTTCTTACCTAAAATCGTTGCCTATCCTTTTGCCTCTCTCGGGAATCCCAGGGTCTGGACACAAATTATGTCCCTGGGACACACCAACCTGAGTTACTACAAAGCAAAAAAACAGCACATACAGAGACAGAATAGCAAAAGGAACATTCTTTCAGCAGCTGTCTTGGTGGATGTGGCGAGAAAAATGGCAACTGGGAGCTCAGAAACCTCAACGTGTTCCATTTTATTCTGGAAAAACAACGGCTTTGGAAAGAAATATCCCGCTTGGTTTACACACCTGAGTGTTTTCTAGGAAATGCCAGCTAGGGACACAGTTTTCCCTCTGTTCCACTACAGAAATACCTCTATAAAAAGTTGAATTGTTGGTATTTTTTTCATTCTGCTAAATGACATCCATCACAGAGCCTGTTTGTTGTGGTTAAAACTCCACCTGCCACCCTCTGAGCGACCTCACAGCCCTCCGAGCCCAGCCCAGCGTGCCAGGGAAGGAAAACGACTCCATGAAAAGGCAGGTGTGTGATCCCAGGGGGGAAAACCAAGCACAGAACGAGAGGGAGAAAGGAGAGGGGAATGCCAGTCGAGGGTTTTAAAGCCAAGTCGTTTAGTTGGAACATGGAAAATTTTATGGAGCAACCTCGATGCCAACAAACATGAAATCCATGGAGTGGTGAAAGAAAAGCTCCCGGCTCCATCCTCCCCATTTCCAGCCCTCTCCAACCTGCCCAAGGCGCAAGGGAGGGTTCGGGCTGGGGGAACCTGGGGGGTTCCTCAGCCCTGGCACCATCCTGATTTCCAGTCTGAATTCCAGTGCAGTAATATGGGGAAAAAATGGGGATTTTTGCCACAGGAATTTGATGGGATTTGGTTTTCTTTGCACCCAAAGCAACACCACATTTCTCAGCCATGATGCTGAATCACTGAAACAGCCCCGTTGCCATCCCACTCTGCCTAGCGCTGGATTACAGGGAAGAAAATCCCGATTTTATTCCAAACACGGTGCCCCAAAGGCCGCTGCCAGGAGAAGGGTGACACTGAGGTGACAGCAGCCTCGTGGCAGACAGAGGGCTCAGCAGCTGGAGCCCTGCAGGGGCAGGGGGGAATGGGAGAATCCATGGAGAGAATCCACCCACAAAGCCAAGACCATCCAATATTTGGGAATAAACCACTGGGGAATCTCTGGTGAATCTCCGACTACAGCTGCTCCTACAAGGAGGATGCTTCCCAGCTTTTGCTGATCCCGAAAATATTCCAGCTTCTCCTCAGCACTAACACCTCCTCTGATGCCATTCCAGTCCTTTTGAGGAATTCCCTTTTTAAGGCCCTTTTTTCCTCCCTTCCCATCGCGCTGGAGCAGGGATGGGGCTGGGATTGTCCCCACACGATGCTTTGGTGCTCTCCTTCGTGTGTGTGAGGGCACAGAGGTGACAGAGACATGGATTCACGGAAAACAGCCTCCTGTGGGATTGTTTTCCCACTTTTCCATGTCCATAACCCCTCGTTTAGCTCAGCCAGCAGCACCAAAGCAGCATCCAGGGCATCCCTCCATTGTCTGCAGCTCCAAACTTTCCTTTGCCACTTTTCACAGGCCCAGAGGATTCCAAAGCACCCCAGAGTGTGAAGGAAGGGAGCCCATGGATTCAACTGCCAACTTCTGACAGGGAAAATTTGGCTGAACCAAGTCCCCAGGTGCCACCATCCTCCCTGGGGCTCCTTCCCTACACACAAAGGTGATGTCTGTGCACAGGCTGCTCCAAACCAAGGAGAATTCACCTTAGGATGAGGAGCCCAATGAGGGTTTGATTAATTTTATGAAAATTCACCTCAGGATGAGGGACCCAGTGATGAAAATTCACCTCAGGATGAGGGATCCAATGAGGGTTTTATGAATTTTATGAAAATTCACCTCAGGGTGAGGGATCCAATGAGGGTTTTATGAATTTTATGAAAATTCACCTCAGGATGAGGGACCCAATGATGAAAATTTACCTCAGGATGAGGAACTCAATGAGGATTATATGAATTTTATGAAAATTCACCTCAGGATGAGGGATCCAGTGAGGGTTTTATGAATTTTATGAAAATTCACCTCAGGATGAGGAACCCAATGAGGATTTTATGAATTTTATGAAAATTCTCCTCAGGATGAGGCGCCCAAGGAGGGTTTGATGAATTTCATGAAAATTCACCTCAGGATGAGGGACCCAATGAGGGTTTGATGAATTTTATGAAAATTCACCTCAGGATGAGGGGCCCAATGAGGGTTTTATGTCCCAAAGCCATGTGGGAGTGAAGGAAAGTGCTCAAATCCCTGATTTTCCTCTGTAGAAACGCCCCTGACCAGACACACCTGTAACAACCACAGCTTCCAAGGTGTATCCCAACTGGGAGCTGGAAAAAAATCACATTCCCACAGCAAATTCCTCCTCCCGTGGCCAAACCCCCGCAGCCCACCCCTTTTGTGCCCCCCAGAGTGGGTCACCGCTGTCACACCCAGTGATTATTTCCCATATCAGATAAAAATGAAGCCTTGAATTCCAAACTTTGGGAAGAAACTATCCCAGATCCCCAGGAAAACAAAGTTTGGCAGCCCCATTGCTGAGGTCTAAGCCCACTTCATCTCTCGTTAGCTGGAGATTCATTAACACCTTAAAACACGTGTAGATAAAGCAGAGAACAGGGAAGATAAAGCTGAGCAAGGGGGAAAGGGAAGATATCTCCATATCCTGGGAGTTGGGGAATTTCTCTTTTCAGGAGAGTGAAAGAAAAGGAGGAGATGGATTAAATGCTCATGTAGAGAAACTTTGGTTCTCTACCTTTTGTTTTGAACACACACACACAAATAGACCAGCCCAAAGGTTATAAACTGGATTTGTCATGCTGAGAATTTGCTGTCAGTTCACCTTCCCAAAGTTCCACCTTGGCTGTGCCATTCCCAGTGAACCCTTCAAGGTTACTGGAGAAACAAGAGATCCCAAAAATTGTGATGAACTGCTCAGTGTTTGTATTAGAAGCTCAGGAATTCTCTCCCCCAACCATGGGGTTGATTTTCCATCCCCTCATTCTCCTGAATTTTTTTTTTTCAATTTCTTTCTCCTCGTGAATTCAGTGACAGCCAATTTTAATTGCTCCGTTTGCCACTGGAATTCACTGTTTAAAATCCTCTTTAGTTTTATCTCTCTTAATAAGAAAAATGCACTGACAGGTTCCCAAGGGACAATTTCTCACTGAATTTCAGAACTACAAAACAAAGCAGCACCTAAAAAAAAAAACCAAACCTTTGACAAAGCCCCAACATTTCTCAGCATGAGAAATCCAGTGGAAGGAGGTGATGCTTTCTCCTGGCAGGAGGGGTGGGAAGGACTGCAGCAGGAATCAGATGGTTTCAAGGGTTAATCTGTGTGCTCACACCAGGGTAATTCCATGCAAACTTCTGGGAAAGATCACAAAAATCAGGCCTGAGAGCTGGGAGCTGATTGATGGGTGCAGGGCTCACCCCAACGAGGTCCTGCTGCATTTCCAACCCCCAAAGGTTCCTTCAGCACCCAAAAAAACTAAAGATTAAGTGATCCCAGAACCTCAGTGACGCCAGACACTGAACACTCCCAATTTTAGCGACACCAAGAGTGAAAAGGTCACAGCGAGGTCCTGACAGGGGGAAAATCCAATCCCAGCTGGGAATGTTCCACCAGGAGAACTCCAAACCCCAATTCCCCGCCTGGAGCTATCCCAGAACAGCTCAGAAGATGCAGCTTCACAAGCGTTCCCAGAAGTGCAGAATTCCCAGAGCATTCCCAGGCTGGCCCACCCCAGCCAAGCACCGTTTGTGCCCAAGCCCCAGGTGGCTCCCGTGTCCCACAGACACCTCCCCAAAATCCAGGAACTCCCACACACTTGGCTGAGACCTAAAAACTGCTCAACCCCCCACCCCAAAATGACTTTTTGACCAAGCTGGACATGCACAGAACTTCCAGTCCTTCACCCAAGCCCTTTGGGCCTCACCCAAACACCACAAAAACCATTTTGACGCTGTTTTTTTGGTTTTTTTTTTCCAAATCCAAACCACCACAATTTTCCCACTGTGGGACCTGGAATATTCACATTTACATTCTGCATTCAGTGCCAGAAACAGCCTCCAAAATGCGGCCTAAAATTTCAAACTGTTTCTTCTACCTGCTTCATTTGTCTCTCGGTATTGTTTTCCCTCCAAAAGTGATTAAAGCAAGATTTCCCAATAATTTGACTGGCGGTGAGCAGTACAAGACACTTAATTAAGATTTCAAACAAACACATTCTGCTACAACTGAGCACAAGCAGCGCCTCCCCCCAGAATTCCGTATTTTTATGGATTTTTTTTTTCCCTGCAATAACACAAGCAGCTCTTACACCGCTACATTTTACCTCCATTCAGCCACACAAAACACACAAGGTTTAATCTGACCAGGCAACCCGAAATCCAAAACCTCCACAAAATCGACAGGATTTGAGCATGGATTCTTCCAGGGAGGATTTTAGGCCAGGTTTTAGGAAAGAGCACTTGGAAAGAAAACATTGCTGGTAGGAATAATCAAAAATAAAGCAGGGAGTTGAAGGTTGGACTTGATCTTTTCCAGCCTTAACGATTTTAGGATTCTGTGGCATAGCTTTAAGTGTTGCCAAGGGACACAAGAATTCTTGAATTTCTGGTATTTGAGCCAGAGCAGCTGGAAATTGCTCTGGAATAGGAAATTTCTTTACTCTGTCCCACCTGTGCAATTATCTGTGATGCAGACTCAGCTCATGGAACTTTGGGAGCACAGAGGGGCAAAGCCAACCCTGCAAATCCAGCTGGGAACAGAGCAGATAAGGCTTTGCAAAAAACCATAAAAACCCCCAAAAAACCTGATTTTCCTGGTGCCATCTCCTTGGGAATCAGCAATTCTGCAGCTGGAAACTCCCTGGGGGAGCAGAAAGCTGCACAACAGGGACTGAAAATCCTGACCTGATGGAGAGCAGGGCACGGGGAGGGGGTGACAGGACCATGGGATGGGGCCACCATCCCCATCATTCCCATTATTCCAGCTCAACAACTTCCAGCCTGAGCTGGACAAGGTCTGAGTGCCCTGGGATGGGATAAAGCAGGCAGAGGGAATTAATTCTGTTTTTTTTTTTCTCCTCAGAAATGCAGGATCTGCTGGAAAGGGAAATACAGGTGCTGTGTCCTCCTCAGTGCATTAAAAACGGATAAAACTGCTCCAAAGGGCATTCCCAGGAAGGAGCAATGGGAATTCTGTGTACTTATGGAATTATGTGTATGTATTTATACAACACTCCATTAAACCAATGATTTCATCACTCCTTCCCCCACGTTTCCAAAAATCCGGGGCAAAACACCCCCCACCCTAAACACAGCCCTCTGTGTCCACACCCAGCCAGGGGCGTTTTCCAACTGGATTTCTCACTCAGTTTAAGTGCACTGGGATGTTCGTTCCAATAAATTCTTCCTGGCAAGGAATGCATCACCCAGCTTGGACTCCATTTTAAAGGATAATTTCCTTTAAAGTGGAATTATTTTCCCCTGGACGTGTCCCCAGTGTTTTCTCCTCTGGAGAATTTGGGTTGTTTTTCACCTTTTTGGGCCTTGCTCCCAAAAAAACAGAGCCTCTAAAAATTCTCCTGGGAGCTGGGAGGGAGACTCTCCTTGCAGACAGACCCTGAGGATTATTCAGATCCAGTCCGTGCATTTTTCTGAATTTCTTTGCAAAATCCACCTGGCTGAGATGTGCAAACTGCTCCTCTCTGATGGGGGGTAATGAGCTGTGCAACAAAATGAGCAATTCCAGTTTCTCCCCAAAAAAATCCATTTGGAAAAATGGATTTTACATTTTACACTCAGCTCCCATGTGAAATATCCATATAAAATATTAACTCCCAGCCAGATCCCTCCTGTTTCAATTTAGTAAGAGCCCAAGATTCAGGGACAAAATTCAGGGTTTTGCTCCTGATTTGGGAAGAAGCTGATGGAAAGCTGAGAGATTTCCCACCTGCCCGAGGGAGGCACAGCAGTGACCCCAGATGTTCTGCCCCTGACACACCAACCACTGAACACAACCTGAAAAATCAGCATTACAAACCCAGAATGATGATTTTTTTTTTTTTCCCTGCAGGGAAAATGAAATAAAGCTCAAATACAAAAAGGAAGACGCTGCTACTGCCTATGTAAATTTTTCTACTATATATATTTTTAATGTTGTTCCTTATCCCTGCTCCTTATTTACAGCGAGAACACCGATCCCAATCCAAAAATATTTTTGTTTTTCCCACTAAAAGGAACCCAAAGCCACGACCCTGGAGCACAGAATCAACCAAATGCAGAGACTCCAAGCCCCTGCACCCTTGCAGGAGTTAGTAAATGCTTGTGACAGAGCACTGGGAGGAGGGAGTGATGCAGAAATGCAGAGGGAAGAGGGAAAAGCACCCAAACTTTTCAGAGTGGCGAAGTTTTAGAGATTACTGGGAAGTCCAATGAAATGTTCCAGGAGATTGTTATCAAAAAGACAGCAAGGAAGAGCCAGAAAACTTACACACAGATGTCTTCTGGTTGTTGTCCTTGCTGGGCATGAGCTTCACCCCTCTGGACTTCAGCTCCATCTGCTTCTTGACTGCAGGGGTGGGAAACAAAGGAAAGGTGAGGGAAATGTTTAGCTGAGCTTCATGGATTTCCATGTTTTTATTTTAAAATAAAAATGTGAATGGCCCATACCCTGCATCCTTGCCTTTGGGATCAGCCAGTTTATCCTGACTCCTCCAAACCAGCAGGGGTTTGTTTTTCCACATTAGGGCTTTGGAGAGGGATTTATTTTGCATGTTAGGGCTTTGAAGAGCTTTAATTTCAAAATAAAAACGGGGTCCAACTGCCCCCCTTCCCTCTGTAACCCACTAAAAATGGGAGACAGGCGAAAGGGAAGCTCTAAGGAACTTCAGGGATGCTGAGAGGAAAATGCTGAGCTGGTTTCCCCTTAATTTTTCTGCTGCAGGAATTTATCCCACAAACCCATTACACAGCAGAGCCATTCCAGGGGAGCACTCATAACCGAAAAACTGCAGAGCTGGTGTGAATAAACAGCAGGAAAAGGCAGGAAAATAGCAGGGAAAAGAAAATTAAACCCCACTGATGGCCAAGGGAAATATCAGCTTGGAGCCCCACACCTGTGGGGCTGATCCCAAAGTGTGACCATTCCCTCCCTGCTCCAAACCTCCTCCAGAAGAGGAGAAAAACCAGGAAAGGGAACAAAAATCCATCCACCTCCAAGAGCCCCATCCTTCCCAAAGGGAGCTCCCCACAGCAGGGAGCAGCAATTTGTTTTTCTGCTCTGGACTTGGCTGCTGCTGCCTCCACCCCGAGGGTTTGGCACAAACCCCACCTGGCAGAACCATCTGGGAGCAGCAGAAACACCTGGATTTGGGATCATTCCAGCCTCCAGGGGCAGGAATTGGGATAAAAGAGCCTCCACTATGAGGATTTGGGATAAAAGAGCCTTCACTGGGAGGAACTGGGATAACCAAGCAGGAATTGGGATAACCCAACAGAAATTGGGATAATTCCAACAGGAATTGGGTTAATTCCAACAGGAAATGGGATAATTCCAACAGGAATTGGGATAAGCCAGCCTCCATTGCAAGAATTGGGATAACCCAACAGGAATTGGGAAAATTCCAACAGGAATTGGGATAAGCCAGCCTCCATTGCAAGAATTGGGATAACCCAACAGGAATTGGGAAAATTCCAACAGGAATTGGGATAACCCAACAGGAATTGGGATAACCCAACAGGAATTGGGATAACCCAACAGGAATTGGGATAATTCCAACAGGAAATGGGATCATTCCAACAGGAATTGGGATAACCCAGCATCCAAATCCCTTCCTGGGAGCCTTTTCCTGACAGGCCAGCCCTTATCCATGGAGAAATCCACTTCAAACCCTTCTCCTCATGTTCTTCATCTTGTCAAGCTTTCATCCCTAAATTAGCACATTCCTAAGACAAAGCTGTCAAGAAAAATTACCCATGTAACTAAAGAGGTTTTTTTTTTAATCATGCTGGGTTTTTTTGGGCTTAAAAAGAGCCTGTTTGGAACAGCTGCTGCAGGAGGCTCAGACAGGGAGAGGCTCCTTGAAGCTCACCTGAGGTGCTGCTTTGAGGGAGATGCTGGGTGCAGCTCTTCACTCATCATTTCCTCACAGCTTTTGGCTTTCTCTTTAAATAAAGCAGCAAGAACTTCAAAAATTTTAGCTGGAAAATATTCATGAGGAAAAGCTGCTGCTCCCGTCTTCCTCGCCAGCTTCAATCTGTTCAGGGCAGCTGCCTTTTTTTATTAATTTAAGAAGGGAAAACTAATTAACAGCAGGCTGCTGTCAAAGCAAATCGACCTCTTTGTTTCTTTTTACTCCAAATCTACCTGCAAGTGCAGCAGGAGGGAAAAAAAGCAGCAGGTTTTGGGATGCCCCAAAGGTCCACATGGATGGGAATCACGGGATATTTCCAGTTTGATCTCAAGGTTTTTAATAAATGTGATATCAAAAAGGAGTTGGGGCTACTGATAGTCACATTTTTGGGGTAAAAATCTATTTCTGCTTCAAATAAAGTAGTGGCAGACATCCCTGCAATGATTCTGCAGCTTTTTCCAGGCAAACACAGGGATAACCCCCCAATCCCAGCCCAACATTCCCTCCCAGGCAATAAAACCCAGGCGATTCCAAGTTTCCAAGGCTGAATTTGGATTTGGATTTGAATTTTCCAAGGATGTGGGTTGGGACTCTGCAGTCTCCAAGTCTCTGCTCTGTGGTTGTGCTTTGGGGCACGAGCAGTGAAAAATAATCCCCATTTCTGCATTCTCCACAGCTTCCCAGTGCACATCCCGTTATCCAGCCCCCAGGGAATGTTCCCACTCTCCACGCAAACAAAAGCTCAGCTCAGATGATTTCTGCACCAGAAAGGGAATTTAGAGGCCAAGCAAAGCTTCCCAAGCATTGGTGAACCCCACCAGAGCTGATGGTGGCACCATGGATGGGATGAGACATCCTTGGGAACTTTTCCGTCAGGACACAGCAACCTGCAGGGATTTCGCCAGTGCTGAACATCCCAAATCCAGGAGAAGGCAGTGGAAGGTGCCAGGGGGTGGAATGAGAGGAATTTCAATGTCTTTTCCAACACAAACCATTCTCTGGATTCTCTGGCATGGGGAGTTCATAATTTGGATACACCCAGGAAGTTTTTCAGGGGCACATTTCTAACCAAGGTTCTCCCAGAGCCATCCCTGCCAGATCCCATCCAACAAACATCCCTCTCCAACCCCGTTCCTGATGGAAAACCTCCTCCCAAACCCCTCAGCAATGGGAACAAGCACCAGACACTCCAGCACCGATCCCAAAATTCAGAGCCCGAGCTGCATCCCCAGGAAACATCTCCTCCTCTAATTGCAGCGTGTCCCTTTCCAGGAGAATTGATAAAGATAAATCGGTGGAGATAAATTGATGGAGATAAATTGATGAAGAGGGATCACTGCATCCTCTCCTCCTCATCCTTCACTTTGGAGCCCTAATGATGGAAGTCAGACTTTACAAATGACTCCATTTAGATCAGAACCAGGCACAGTAGAGCACCACTTGTTTCAGGCTTTTTAAAAATTTAAATAAATAAGAACAATTCTCCCACTCCCTGCCCTCAAAAATCCGGTGCTTGAAAATTGACTTTGTTTGTAAATTGGAATGTGGAGCGGTACTACAAAGGACTGTGTCAGGATAATTGGATGAACAGAAACTCCTGTTTTCTGGAGGGTTTTGCTGCTCACACACATCCAACAGATCTAATGGAATACTCAGCATCCTGTCAGATTTGAGAGATGACATTACAAAGCTCTGCCAGCACGGCAGGCAGGCCGGGCTGTTCCTTTTAAACCACTTCATGTTGCTCTAAATGAGGATTTAAGCAGACATTTATTTATTTTTAATTTGGAAAACAGTGTTTCAGCAGCAACAACAACAGAAAAAAAATCTATTCCATGAAGCTCTGCTTTCCTTGCTGAGGGAATTGTTAAATCCAGATCCTGCCCGGATCTCTCCCTCCTGCTGTCATGATTCAGCAGCAGATGCTCACAGGGGTTCTTGTTCCTGGAGGTGAAGAGAAACCCTCTCCTCAAGTGCAACTCTTTGGGAAAATCCCTCTTTTGGCAGCCTGAGCAATGGATCTTCGGGAATCAGAGCTTGCACGTGCATTGGAATTTTCAAGAATTGCCCAGGAGAGTCCACAGGTCGTGTGGCAGGAGATAAAAATCCCTTTGGAACCCAAGGGTGGGATGAGAAGGGGGAGATCCAGGACGAGGAATGGAAGGTCAGGATGAGAAATGAAGATCCAGGATGAAGCGTGGAAGATCCAAGATGAAAGGGGGAAGATCCAAGATAAGCAATGGGACATCCAAGATGAAAACTGGAAGATCCAAGATGAGGAATGGGAGATCCAGGATAAAAAGGGGAAGATCCAGGATGAAAAGGGGAAGACTGAAAATTCCGAGATGAAAACTGGGAGATCCAAGATGAGAAATGGAAGATCCAAGATGAGGAGAGGGAGATCCAGGATGAAAAGGGGAAGATCCAGGATAAAGAGTAGAAGATCCAGGATGTGGAAAAGACAATCCAAGATGAAAAGAGGAAGATTGAAAATGAGGAGGGGAAGATCCAAGATGAGGAGTAGGAGATCCAAGAAGAGGAGAGGAAGATAAGGATGAAGAGGGGAAGATCCAGGATTAAGAGTAGAAGATCCAGGATGAAAAGGGGAAGATCCAAAATGAGGAATGGAAGATCAGGATGAAGAATGGAAGATCCAAGATGAAACGGGGAGGATCCAAGATAAGCAGTGGGACATCTAAGATGAGAAATGGAAGACCCAAGATGAGGAATGGGAGATCCAGGATGAAAAGGGGAAGATCCAAGATGAAAAGGGGAAGATTGAAAATGAGGATAGGAAGATCCAGGATGAGAAATGGAAGATCCAAGATGAGGAGTGGGAGATAAGGATGAAGAGGGGAAGATCCAGGATAAAGAGTAGAAGATCCAAGATGAAAACTGGAAGATCCAAGATGAGAAATGGAAGGTCCAAGATGAGGAGAGAGAGATCCAGGATGAAAAGGGGATGATCCAAGATGAAAAGGAGAAGATCCAATATGAGAAATGGAAGGTCCAAGATGAGGAGTGGGAGATCCAGGATGAAGAGGGGAAGATCTATCCAAACTGATCTTCAGATTTACCCATGGACAGATCTGTAGATTAAAGCCACGGATGGGGCTGGGAGCACCCTGGGATAGTGGGAGGTCACTGCCCGTGGAAGGGGTGGAACTGGATGGGATTTAAACCCATTCCAAACCATTCCAAGATTCCATGACACCCTCCCAAAGCCATTTCTGTGTCTCTCGTGACCAGCAGAGAGCTCCTGAGCCCCTCCCTGAAGGAGGCAGCTCTGTCCGGTGCCGGGGCTGGAGCTCATCCCATTAATCTTCCTCCGGAGGAAGGGAAGCAGCCAGGGCGGGGAGATCGATAAAAGCTGCAATTATGTGTTGGTAACAATCAGCTCCAGAGCAATTAGGGAGCCAAGTTCTGCCATAAAACATGTGCAGAGAGGGGCAGCAGCAGCCAGGGCAGCATTCCCATCTCTCCAATTCCAGCTCTGCACTTCCAGCCCCTCGGATGGGGTAGGACACCTGAGGTGCTGCCACCTCACCTGATTAAAACACTTCTAGATTATTTTCTTCAACCTTTTTGAGGAGACAGGATGGGGAAGAAATTGTTAGAAAAAACCTTTATGCACAGATTTCTCCCAGTCCCTTTGATTTCCTTACATGAGGAATGGGGGGAAAGCATTTGCAAAAATCAAGATTCACCTTAATGAAAGGGAAAAGGGAAGGGGGAAATATTTAACTCTCCCAATAAGAGAACCAAACTAATTTGCTGTATTCAACAACAACAACAAAAAACCCTCTCCACAGCCTGATTGCATCTAACCTTGCTTTTACATTCCTGAAGTGATTTCCAAATGAGGGCACGGATTAGGGAGAGCGGAGAGGGAACAGACAGAGAAGGTTTTCTGCAAAACTCGGGATCAATTTAAACAAGCTGGAAGGGAAATTGTTTTCTTATAGATTATCAGCAAAGCCAGACCCCGTCCCAGAGGACACAGGGGGTTCATAAATGATGTACAGACACGTCTTTGGAAAACTGACAGCAAATTAGAGCCACCGTAAAGGCTCCCTTCCTTCTCCTGGCCGATCCTGATTCAGCTCTCCTGATGAAAAATGCATTTCAGCTGCTGTGCTTCCCGTGGAATTACATGGCCTGTTTTGTAGGGATTTATCTCCAGTGAAATATTTATGGCCAGGCCAGGTTGTGGAAAGGGTTACAGGGAGGTTTTTAAAGTATCAGCATCTCCTGTCCTACAGATCCCACTGCCTGCAGACACTTTCCCTTCATCCCTGGGAATCTTCACTGCTTGGCTGCTTGTTTTGCTGTTCTTTTCAGCATTGAAAGGCAGAAAGGAGCTGCCAAACACCACAAAAAACAGCAGAAAAAACGAGGACAGGTCACCTCTGGCAGCTGAGCTGAGGTCCTGCCTCAATTCCAGCCCAGGAATGGGGAGCTCAGTTCATTCCCAAACACTCCATCCCCAGTTCAATCCCTCTGCCAATGCCGTGGAGGAGAGCAGAACCCCGATATTGATCTGATCAAGGGGAATTAGAACATTCATCCTGCTTTTGCTAGGGAGGGAGAAAGGCTGGCTCAGACAGGTGCTTTGGAGAAAGCTGCAATGCTGACAGCCAGGGAAAAGGCATCCAAAGGGAAGCTGCTTTTTCCAGGTGTTTGTGCTGCACAGCAACAACAAAAGGGTTTCGTTTTTTTTGTTTTTGTTTTTTTTTTTTTTTTTGTTTTTTGTTTTTTTTTTGTTTTGTTTTGTTTTGTTTTTTTTTCTCTTGCAGTTTAAAGTAATTTATAGACTCAAGGAAAGCAGGAAAGTTAAATAATGATGTGGTTCGTGTGTTGAGGCCGTGACAGCACTGCTAAGAACAACCTGGGAGCATCCATTTGTGGATTTATCCAAGGAAAATCCTCTCCCTTTCACTTGACTCCTCTCCAGAGCTTTTTCCCAGCAAAAGCCTCTTGAGAGCAAACCTGCAGAGCTCCCCTGAACCCAGCCTTGGGGGGGACTCAAAGCCATTCCTGCTCCTTCCCCTGTCCTGGATCCTGCCTCCAGAGCCAGCTGCACCCACAAACTCCTTCCAAGACATCCCAGGGAGTGGTGGGAACACTTCCAGGGAATCCACTCAATCCACTCCGCTCCCACCAGGAGCTGCATCTTCACTGCCAAAGGATCTCCTGTCCCTCAACATCACCTGAACATCCCCACCCTGAAATCTTTATCCCAATCCTGAATTCTCCCCTGTGAGGGTGGGGAGGGGCTGAGATGGTTTTCCCAGAGAAGTTCCTGGATCCCTGGGAGTGTTCAAGGCCAGGCTAGAGGAGGCCTGGAGCAGCACCCTGGGACAGTGGAGGTGTCACTGTCACACTGGATGGGTTCCAAGATCCCTCCCAGCCCAAACTAATCTGGGTTTTCCTATGAAACCCACTATAGTAAAAATGTGATGGACCCCAGATCCAG